GACTTCACACAAGGCTCCCTGCGGACGGATTGCAAAACACAACGGGCTCCAACTTCTGGGAAGTTCCAAATCACAGGGACCCGCAAGGGAACCTAAACAAGAACCCTAAGGTTGGGATAGTTTGGCTCCTGAAATTAGCAATCCTCGTCTGGGAATTGGGAGTTGGGACCCATGATCTCCTCTACGAGATGCAGAGCAATTCGCTTCGTGAATGGGGGTACACTGTCGCATGCTGCGATGCCGTCTCAATGCGGGATGCCCGATTACCGAATTGATGTTGCAGGCAGCGCAGGGCATAACATAAGACAAACGACTCCAGTGCGACACGACCCTGTCTTGCGCAGGCTCTCGACGGGAGCAACTAAACCCTAAACCTCGACATCCCAGACTGCCAGAGCCCTGCAGTCTTCAGCATTACGCCACTAGGGTCTACTAGGCGGTTAATATAGGGGCCTTAATGATTAGAATGGGATTTCGGGGCCCACTATGCTATAATGTATGATGAGGAACCCCCAAAACAGTATTGGCAATCGTTTAAGCCTCTATGTTAGGGGAATGGCCTCAAGATCGTCTGCATAGTGGTCCAGTGCCATTTGAAATCCTCCGGAGCGGACTTGGCTGGGAATTTTGAAAGTCCGGCAATGCTGGTAAGGTGATCTTCTCGAAACTTGTTGACCACACACACACACCTAATTATCTATGTATATATATATATACATATACATACACATACCCGTAACTGTATAAGTATACATACGGACAAAAATGCTTCATACAGAAACACGCTTGCATTTCAACCAAGTATAATGGCTTCTTCATACTCCAGGGCTGTTGAGTTTCAGAGCCGGGGAGCTCCTCAAGAGGAAGGGAGAGGGGTTGTTGATCAGAGATGCACGCTCAGATCCGAACTTAAAACCCTGAAACCCTAAACTTAAACCTTCAACCTTAAGTCCTGAACCCAGGAGCCTCAATTTTGCGTGAGAATGGGAAAAGCCGGCCCCGAGCCGCCTCCTTGTAGCATCAAGGGTCCGAACTCGGTCCTGATCTAAACAGAAGGGTAGCTTAGGGGCCTTAACAATTATATACAATTATAGAAGAGGAACCGGGTTGTAGGGCCCATTATACTACAAATAGAATAAGGAAGCCCAAACGGGTAGTTCTCGAAGTTAAGATCTCTTTGTAGGAACTCACAAGAAGGCGGCACCCTCATGAAAATAAAAACCTCTACGAGGGACCCTGATCTAGAGAACTACGTACCCTGAGATCTCAGGATGCTCAGGTTTAGGTCTAGGTTCAGGGCCCTAAACCTTAGACCCAAACAAACCCTACGAGCCATAGAGCCTATAAGCCTTAAGCCCTAAACCCTTTTGATGCAGCTCTAGGGCTTAGGATGGCGGGTTTAGGATTTCGGATTTAGGGTTTCGAGACCCAAGTAGGGCTAGATTTCGACGTTCAGCTCCTGCTGCTAGGGCTGGGGTTGTTCATGGCTACCGTCATGAAGACCAAGATAATTGTTCTAAGTTGATATAGGTCGTTCTTGCATGTTAACATGAGGCTACTGTCTTAAGTGTTGCTCGATGTCTCAACATCAATTTGAAACCCAAGCCCTAAACGCCAAACCCTAATTCCTAAGCCGCTATATCATGGATTCCCTGTTCTAGACGCCTCAAACCCTGTAAAGATTCCTTAAGGGATCCCTATCATAGATTCCTATAGGTCCCTCATGTAGACGCCTGTAAAGATCCCTTAAGGGAGTCCCATTGCAAGTATTAAGCCCTTGTATACGCCCAGGAGCAGGTTCAAGTCCACCACGCTCCAAGGATGACGTCGCTTGGAGGATGCTTCGACCTGCCGGGACGAAGCAGCGGACAGGCTCTAGCCTTGGGAGGGTAGGGTGTACGGCTTAGGCCGTAAGGTTTGGGGTCTGAGAAGTGTGTGAGGGCCTATTGGGCTATAGTGTGCAGGGAGATTGGGTTCCTTTGAATTCTTCTTTCAAAGATCCGGAAGGGTTGCTATAACCATCAGGATTCTGTATAGGCTTATAGTGCATCTAGGGCCTGCAGGGTTCAGGGTCCAGGTTGTTTCGGATGGTCTCAGGATGGAGGGGTTTTAGAGCATTTTCAGAACAGGCGGGAGCTCTCCGGACTTACAAATTCTGTGGCCCATATAAACCTGTATCCATATTTGTCTCCGTATCTGTACCGGTATTTATGACATATATATATATACATAGATACAGATAGGTACTTATATAGTAGATGACACAAAACGTGTAGTAACTACATCAGATAGTTGCCTAAACCCCAAACTGATCCCGCCTCCCTGTAGCCGAAGCGGACTCAGTTGTGACTTCAGAGTTTGGGGCTTGATAAACAGGGGTATCATGGGAAGACTCTGGTTACGGCTCATGACGTCGGGTTTCCGCTGAATTGTGGTCTCTTTGAACTTTGAGGGTCCTCACGATGGTACCCTGCTCAATAAAGCGCCATCTTCAGAAGAACTCCAAGTCAGGACAGCATACAATATCCAGTCCACCCAAAACCTAGCGACAACATCGCAACATTCCGCAAGATCTTAACGAGTCGCAAGGTCTGATGTAAGCCTTTCAAAAACAGTAATCATCTAAGCACCTACTGCATGGCGGTCTGACTGTGATGCTGCTGCTGCTCGCTGCTCCTATCTGATGTGCCTGGAACAAACCTGACCAAACAATCGCATGTTGTAGCCTGGTCAGGGGATGCAGGCATAGCACGGCTGATTTGTCGCTTATGGTGCGTACTCAATGCACAACACTCTCTACGAAGCCAGCTTCCCGAGCCCAAACCCCAATCGCAAGCTTTACGAATCAGCCCTCATGCCCCGAAAGCTAATTGATCGCCATGGTGCCGAAATCCCCAACCTCGAAGCGATCCTCCATATCCGAAGCTACGGAAGACCCAAAGGGGGTGCAGGGCTGTGGTCGGTAGCTAGAGTAATACGGCGCTCTCCAACCATGACAAAAAACTTGAAGATACGTAAACTACAAACATGCCGGTAAACAAGCACACACCTATGTACTTACATATGTACATACACACACTTGATTATTGTTCTCGACATTCTACTGATGCGATTCCCGAGTCATATGAGTGGATGCTGTAAACTCAAGCTTGGCTTGGGGGCCTCTGTCCAGTTAATCCAAGAGTTGGCGGCACCAACGGCGAGGATCTTGCTCTTCCCCTTCCGTCACAGCATCCCTTGAACTCCGAAGCCGAAATCTCCTTTTCCTAACACCTAAAGCGTATGCTCTAAAGACCTCAAACCCTACACCCCTTAACCCAAAGATGTACTAGAAGCCCACAGCTCAAGTTTCGGGCTGTAGCATGCGCTTAAACTTTGAGTCTTAGGACCCAGAAGAGAAACCCTCCAAGCTTTCAGCCCTACATGCTTAACCCCAAACTCTTGACTTTATGCCCCAATACAGATTACGCGAAATCTGAAGCTTTGAACGGCTAAACATCTAAACCGAAACTCCAGACTCCAAACTCCTGAACCCTTGCATGGCGCTTTGGATTTCCAGTCGCAGTTTGAGGGCTGATCCTGCAAAACCAGTGGGCAGGTAAAGTATCACCAAACCCTCAACTCCCAGACCCAAAAGCCCCATATCAACCTTATAAATCCTAATTCCAACAGCCCTCCTACACCGCCCGTCATTCTGTGCCTTGCAGCGTTTCGGGGTTGAAGGTTGGGGTTCAGAGTTTCGGGCTTTCAGTTCCGGAGATGTCCGTACGCTCCGGCCACAAGATCCCAAAGCTGTGAGCCGCATAAACTCTGAAGACCTTCGCATGCTACATCCCACCGGCAGCTTCTTTCACGTGCTCTGAACCATAAATAAACCCAAACCCTCAACGCAAGACTTCAAACCCGAAGCCGTACACTACACCCTATAAACTGAAGCCTAAACTTATCAAATTTCAGCCAAGGAGTCTGTCTGCAGTACCGATGTGGAACAGACAGCACAAAGCAGAAGCAGCAGCCATGTCATGCAGGCGGGGCGCTCGGGTTGACTCGGCCCTATTAGATTGGGCTTTCCAAACTTAGCAGTGCCTTCGTTAAAGATGCTTCCGAAGGGGATTGAGACGTGGGCGGGGTGGCGGGAGGGGGGGCGTTGCTAAGTACAGTCTTGTGAGCCGCAAGAATGCAAGAACAACGGACAAACGAAACCCCAAAAGCCACGATGTAAAGTTCGAGCTGCGATCATTTTGCCTCCAACATGGTTCACTTCGAACTCCCAACTCCAAGAGTTCTTGTACTACACCCTATTATTTATATGGCGCGACCATAACCTGCTACTTCGCAGGATTTGGAGTGAGGAGAGTTTAGACAAGACGCTACGCCAGGCTCGTCGCCAGAAGAGTTGGGACATGTTTAACCCGGGCCCGGAATTGTTTGAAATGCAAGGAACCCTAGCAGTAGGGATCCTTGACTCATGCTTCAACTTTCTGGAGTACGCTTCAGCACCAAACTCTCGGCTTAACACCCCCAGCACCTTGATTCCCCATCTGGCTACAGACTCCCATGGTTTTTGGAAACCCAAAAGTTTCGTAGACCGAAATCTGCCAGCCCAAGGTTCAATCTTCACTATTATGACTATTGCTGCTGCTGATGGACAAAATCCTGCAATACCCTTTATAAGGAATATACCATAGTTCCCATAGTTTAGAGTCCTTGGGGTCATGCAGGATTTTGTCCATCAGCAGTATCACTCTCCCTGTTATTGGGTTTAGGGGCCGAGGATTCCGGGCTTGGGTGTCAATGGGGCTCTAGTAGCTTTGGGGCTTAGGGTTTAAGGTTTAGGGTTTAGGGGTTTAGGGTTTAGGGGTTTAGGGGTTTAGGGTTTAGGGGCTTAGGGTTTAGGGCTTACGTAAGGGTCTAGTTTAGTCCGGAATGCGGGGTTCAGACTGAGAAGCACTGCAGGCGACCCCATGCAACCGTGGTTGCTGCAAACATGCAAGGGTGGCTGTAGATGTACCGGACGCAGGTATACTCCTCAACAATCGCCGCAGTTTGTGGCGAAAGGCTACAGAGCCCGAAAAAGACTTTTGGGTGTATATTGCATAATAATTATGATACGGAGTTCTGAGGAAAAGTACCACTGATCGTCCAGATGTGTGGGCTTTAATAATTAGAACCGGGTTGTGGGGGATATTCTGCTATAACTATAATAACGCTCCTATAATCAGGAAACCTCAAAACCCTGTGGTTTCTCTTCACCACAAAAAGGGCTCAGGCGAGGTTCAGGAGCCGGGACAAGGTCCGGGGCTTCCCGTGCGGAAAGTCTCGTGTTGAGGTCCAGACCTCCATTGAGCTTTAAAATTGCCTTAGAAGCACCTACACAACATCTAAAAAAGCCAACAAGCCCTAAACCCTAAACCACTTTAGAGAGCGTGGCAGGTCTCAGGCACCCACCACGTGCCGCGTGCCGTCGTCGTCCTCCGAGATCGCCATGACCTGGCTCGGGTAGTTTTACATGCGGCTATAAGTCCCCTATAATATGGTTCATGATCATAACCACCCTAAGATATGGTTTATGTATATAGCTACGCTACTTGGAGGTAGACGCTGGCAGCCATGAGCCCATAAATCTGGATTCAGACTTGACAGGTTCCTCCAGCAAGGCAGCATGAAGCATGCCAAATAGACAAGAGTCGCATTTGACAATCCCTGGACACGAAACCCCAAAAACCCTGAGCAAGGTATAGAGCAATGCTAAGGCCCCAATCCTGAAGTGATGTACAGGCCTACAGGCCCAAACCCTAAACCCTAAACCCTAAACCCTAAGCAAAAACGCCTAGGTTGGGGAGTACGAGGTGGCGTCCTTGAGAGTTTGTTTTTCAGCGGGGTGATTTCTGCTGCGCTCAGAACAGGAACTAGAAGGGTACACTGCTAACAATGAAGCCGACCCTCCTAGTATCATGCTGAAGCTCTGCGAACCTTGATAGAAAGTTCTTTTGACCTTTGACATTCCAGTTGTACCTGAATGGCAGTTTGGCTCGATATGGCAAATAACAACCTATCCAGAGACTTCAAAACCCCTTAACCAAGGACTATATGCCTTAAATCAGATCAAGGATCCCCTACAACTTAAGGTATCTTGCTGCAGGACGATGAAAGGGGTTAGGAGGTTCTGTGTGCTGCATAGATAGCTCGGGCATCCAGCGCTTGCTCTACTTTCGAGCCTGTCGTGTCGATGCACGCTTGACTCGTTGCTGCATGGCCGCAAGCTTCTCCAGGATCCAGGTGTCCTTTAGGGTGTAAGCACTTTAAGCTTTTAAGCTTCGGGGTTAAGGGTCAGGTTCTTGATGTAGGGTTAAACCGCGTGCAGCAGCTCGGACTGGGGGCAGACTGTAAAAATTTCGGATTCACATGACGGACATGCACAGGGTTTACATAAGGTTCAGGGGTTTAAGCAGATCCAAAGACAGGAGACACAAGATTCTAAACCCTAAACCCTGTATAGTCCCTTGGACCAAAACAACAAACTGAACCCTAAACCCTAAGCAATAAACCCCGAATCCCTAACTAAACCTCTAGTTCTTAATGTTACAGGGCCGTAAATAAAACTCCGTAACAGGTACCCAGGAATTCCCGAGTTCCTCTCCCTTGAGCTCATCAGGATCCGTCACGTCATCCGGGTCGACGTAAGCATCCTCATCCACGATCCTCGGGTTACTATAGGGTTAAGGGTTTAGGGATTCAATTAGAATAGGGTTTGGGGGCCCGATGTACCATAACTATAACAAGGAAGCCCCCCAAATAGTGTAGGTAAATAGGAAGGCCACTATATATTAGGCTTTAGGGATCTTCGTCTCCAATCCTCATCAAGAGAGTTGCAAAGGCTTGAAGGATGAGATTGCGAATTCGACTTTGGGGCCTTGGTAATTAAAACGAGGTTATGTGGTCTAATATGTTATAAATGTACTAACGAATACCCTAACGAAGAACGCCACGAACTCTCAGTCTCAACTCAAAACAGTGTATCCAAGCCTTGCGATGCCCAAGTGCATCTGAACGCGACGGGCCCTTTGCTGTGAAGGTATGCCTCCTTGGAGTGCAGTATCAGCGATAACATCTGAGCCCTAAGACCCACCTACTAATTATTCAAGAGTGCTGAATCCTAAACTCTCCTATACAAACTAGCAGCCCACCCCCAACTCCTAAACCACCCTCTCGTCAGCCCTGCCGGAGACTTTGGGTTTTTTCGTGCGACAGGTCTGGGTGCTTGGAGGTGGGGGCTTAAGGCTTCAGGGCAGGTTCGGGGATTTGCGGGACTTCGTGAATTTAGGGGCCTTCTGATTTAGAGGCTTAGTTGGGGTCACCTTCTCCACCATTAGATTCTGCTGCCTTCGAAGATTCTATGGAAACACACAAGGAAATTACATCAAGGAACCCTCACCTGGAACGCTGAACCTTCAACATCTAGGTTTTCATTGATTGGGTTCAGGTAGGCCGTATGACAACCTTGGATTCTGAGAACACGACTGACAATAAACCACTGCCAGATACTGCCGAACTTCATCAATACAAGAAAACCAACGCCCTCAAAACACAAGCTCAGCCTCATCTTAATCCGTAAACCTGATTCGAACCCGTGCCTGCTTCTTCAACTGCAACCGAGACTCAAATGGGTGGCATGCTCCATGGAGGCACAGGGCAGCATCGACTGTGCACTCATGGCCTTTGCGCGGGGCTGTAGCATCCTGGTTCAGCTCAACGCTCCGCCAAGCTCTGTGCTAGAACCTAAAACCCTGTATGGGAGTTTCCGAAAATAGGGGTACCTTATTTTGGGGTCCTTCTAATAAGGATCCTACTATTTAGGGTACTATATTAGGGTCCCCCATTTTCGGAAACTCCCCTAGATGGGGCTCTTACTTCGGAGTACGGGATTTGGCCACTGCGCACGCCCAGGGCTCGGACCAGCGCTCAGCGAGACGATTAGGGTTTAGGGTTTAGGGTTTAGGGTTTAGGGACGGAGGTTGTGTTACTGCATGGGGTGCCATGTTCCTATACCCTAAGAGTCCATGTACCCATATAGCATATACTTTGGGCCCAATGTACCTATATAGGGAGTACTTTAGGGCCAATGTATATACTATATGAGTACATGGACCCTTAGGGATATTGACCATGAAAGAATGAAAAACTTGAAGTCGCCAGCAAAGCCGAAATTTCGAGCCTCCTCGACGTGGTCTCGAAATCCCGCAGTGGTAAGGCTTTAGGGCTTGGGGAATCGTGTAGTGGAGCACTGCGCTGATGCATTGTGACATTTCGGGCTTGCTTTACTGTGGCTTCCTTCCGGATTTAGGGTCTGGTGTAGGACCTACTTGAAGGCTCATGGGACTTAGTAAGTAGGATTATAAGTAGGTTATAATTAAGATAACCCCACTTAGGGGACTTATAACCCCAACTATAGCCTACTTACTAAGTCCCATGATCCTTTAAGTACCCCGGACAATGCATTGGCAGCAAGAGGCTGTATAGAACTTGGAGGCAATGCCCGCCAGAATGTGGACGAGGGTAAACCAGATGCACCTGCGGCAAGAGCAGCAACAAATGTCGCAAGGAGTTCGAGTTCGGATCCCCACCCCACCCTTCCACTAGGATCCTGATAGTCAGGACTCCAGAGTATTCGCGGCTTGAAACTCAAGGGCTTGCAGTTCAAGTTAGGACTGCTATATAGACGAAGTGTGCAATTCCAGAAGAGCCTTACTCGCACTTGTGGTTTTGGGTTAAGACTTTCTTAATGGGTTGCGGCTTCTTGTTAGACATAGAGCTCCCAAGGCAGAGGCCCCCAAAAGCCCGAAGCCTCCCCTCACGGCCCCTGCGCAAGCCCAACATCAATGCCTTTGCTCCTGCCTCAGCCCCTACATCTTGTGTGATATGGGGCTTTCTACTTAATCGTCCAAGAATTTTGAGGATGCCATCATTTCTGGACTCTCTCTCACTCTCTCTCTCTCTCTCTGTCTCTGTCTCTCTCTCTCTCTTGAACCTTCAGGTAAAGCCCCTGCGCAATTCAAACGCTCAACCTCCGAAGGCACCCGTGCTGACGCCTCAAAGTCGCCAATGTCAAGGGCTGCTATAACCCAAAGGGTCCAAGTATCATTATGGTATATACTTAGACCCCCAAAATACCCTATAAGTATATACCATAATGATACTTGGACCCTTTGGGTAAGGGTATCGGTTTCGGGTTTGGGGGTTCAGGGTTGCCCAGCAAAAGTCTACAGAGCCATAAACCATAATGTAGGGGCCACAATAATTACCAGTACTAATTTGAGGGTTCCTTATTATTATATGTATAGTATAATGGGCCCCAAAAACCCTACTCTAATTACTAAGGCCCCTATATTATAGTACCCTTATAGATCCCTTATAGTAACCCTTTAAAAGAATCCCTTGTAAGGAACCCTACTATGATCAAGGCCCATATAGTAATCCAGAGCTCCCCCATCGCCCGTGCCCTCCCCCAAGAAAGTTCGGCAGGGCACCAAGGCATCATGAGGCCATCCCAAGTGCCAAAAACCTCCGACAGGTGACTTCTGAAAGTTTCCGTTTACGGCAAAGCCCAAAGGCTCAACTTTTCAGGGTTCCTATAACGGGTCCTTTAAGGGATTCCTTCAATGGATTCCTATAAGGGGTTCCTTTACAAGGGTTACGATAAGGGTCATATGCACATACGCCGTCAAATCCACATACGTGCGTGCAGGCAAGCATAAGCACAATCACAAAGAGATGCACGCAAAACTTTGACATACACAGACATAGCCGCATAGGCATACACATGTATCAGGCAAATAATACTTCTACACAGACATAGACATAAAGCCAGACGCCTACATGCACAAATACGACTCCAAACCCAGTCCTCAGATCCCTTATCATGCATTCGATCTCCAACATGCAAAGCATGACATTCAAACTCGAAGATTAAAGTGTGCGATGCCTCGAAACGCCTGAGCCTGTCCGCTCCTGGAACTTTAGGGTCAGTCTAGGGCTCAGGGCTTTAAGTCTGGAGAGTGCCCTCGATCGAGTTCTTTATGTTGGTCGCCGTTGTTACTTATTGAGATGACCTTAAGCACCATCCTAACTCAGCAATCACACGGCCGTCATCTCACCCGAAACAATGTGGCAAAACTTCACGTTTGACAGTGCAGGGCTTAAGAGCCCCGGAGCCTCAAGTCCTAACCCGGCCTTCTTCCAGTAGTCCGTGCTCGGTGGGAAGTAGAGCCCCGTATCGATCACCTTGATAGCTCGACAAGAACAATCTGCGGCGAGATCTGCGGGTTCTCCAAATTAGGTCTAGTTGAAAAGTTCGTTCCACTAGACTCCCAAACCAGTATGTAAATGTCTTAAAGCCAGGTAGTGCTATCTAAGCCGGGAAAATACATATACACATGAGTGTACACATAGATAGATATGTTAATATGTATGAGCATGCATATGTATGCAGGTGCGTGATACAGACCAGAAAAGGGTAAAGATTGGATTGGACACTCTGCTGCTGTCAAGGGCAGTCGATATTCGGGTGTAAGGCATAAAGCCACCTGGTCGAAACATATCTGTCTATCTGTCTATATACATATATACATACACACACTTTTCTATACTGTGCTACATTGTACTACACGACACTACACTAGGCGAGGCTATCCTGGGCGGACTGGACTATAAATACAGAAACGATTACCAAAACAGGTTTTGTATACAATGCAAACGAATGAATGGCCATATGTTGTGGCCCAGTTCAAGCAGAGGTACATAAGCAATCCAGAGGCCCCAGATCATCACCACGTAGCCAGCCAGCGGAAGGAAGACCCAGGCATAAATCACTAGGGTGCCAATCCAGGATGATCGAAATCCATACCTCAAAGGGCGGTTCGGGCTTAGGGTTTTTTTTAAAGTGCACTGACCTTTCTCCGCTCCGGGGGCTTAGGGTTTAGGGCTCAGGGTTTAGGGCTTGGAGTTGAATGTTCGGGCTTCGGGCTTAGGGTTTAATTTAGAGTTTAGGGTTTCACGGCTTGGGGTTTGCCAGTCCAGCAGGATCCAAGCCAATACCTGGGTTTAGGCTTTGGAATCAGGGTTGTTTAGTTAGGGCTCGGGGTTTGAGTTGTCTGGTAAGAAGTTGGGACGGAGGGTTTGGGCGAAGAAGCTGTGCCGCTGTGCAAATTCTGGGATTCTAGGAGGTCCAGAACTGGTATATTTTGAAGCAGAGATATACGCCTTAGCCTTGAACGTTGTGGCCAACTTGCAGGTACCAGGCTCCCCCAAAGAGGCCTCTGTTTGACCAAAATCAAGGTTGATTGAAACAACTCGGAATGTAGCCGCTGTTCACGATTTGTTTGTAAGGTTGTGTAATGCCGGACATGGTCCATCAGCAGCAAACCGCACCCAAACCCTGGATCCCAGACCTCAAAAAGCTATCAAGGCCTTAGGTAAGATGTGAATTTCAGGAAGTGAGGGACCCTAGCATAGTCTTGGAAAGTAGACATCCTTCATGGAAGCACCCGATAACTAAGACAATGGGACATGTCATCTGGCCTACATAAGCCCGATGCTATAGTATCGGTTTCTGTCTGCCCTCTGATCACAGTATGGGTTCCCCAGTCCTATCCACCCCGACCTTCCAATATCACACTTTAAAATATAGTAGGATCCCAAATATACTTTAACGTAGATTGCTTAATACAAGGATTTTGGAATGCCTGGGCACAAAAAGGCCTACTTGTCGGGTATCATGGGGAACTCAATGTCAACCTTTTTGGTTATATAGGGATTTTTTGGTTATATAGGGATTATACAGGGACTATACTATACTACCCAAAAAAAGTTAAAGGTTCCTTACTCTACCACTAGGAAGGGCTTAAGAACCCTTAACCTTAGGCTCTACGGACTCATTCTTTCATTTCTTTGGACCCAAAGACCATACTAACAAAGGCTTTTGGGCCAGTTTGAGCCTTAGGCCTTAGGGAAAGGGCTTCTTCTCATCGTGTCATGGCAAAAAGAGCCCCATCTCAAGGCCCAAATCGGTCCCAGGCGCTGGGTGAACTTCCGCGGCACCTGCTTTTAGGGTTTAGGATTTGTAGGTCTTTAGGGTTTATGGTTTATAGGGTTTATAAGGGTTGTAGGGTTTTAGGATTTCGTGCTTTGGGGCTTTAGGGTTTGATGCGCCGCCCTGAACCCCAATGCCTTGAACCCGGCTGACACCGTTTAGGGATCGAGGTTTATGAAGTCCGGTGCTTAAGCCCGCTCCATGAACCTGACACCTGAGGCCAATAAAAGCTTGCACCGCTCATCTGAAACCCAGAAGCCAAACAGTGAGGTTGAAGCACTCGGGGCTGATTTGCTCGATCTCTTAAGGTTTGTTCCTTACTTAACTATTCGCTTCGCTGAACGGGCGATCTTTTCGATGAAGGTTAGGACGTGCTGCACGGATTTGGGCGGCAGAGTTACGGCCAAGAGCCCACAACAGTTCGGTATAGTGTTTGGTGTTAAGCATCTTAAACGGAGCTTAAACTTCTTCGAAGCTCTTGCAGTCTTATGGTTGCCGCCAAATGGCCTGCATACGGTGTAAAGTTGTAGGAGTGCTTCGGGTTCAAAGATGCTGGTGTGAATCTCTGTGAGACTTACACTGCGACAGTGCTG